ACCAGAATGTTTCCTTCCTGCCTTCCTTACAGGATTAGGCCAGTAATTTCTTCTAACAACCGGTTCTCCGAACTGCTTAGAATGTTAACAACCGGTTCTAGCGAATAGGTGCAAACTGGTAGAATCCCACACCTGCTGCTATCCTGTCACCCTCCTCCCCCCGCCAGTCCTTTTTTTTATCTCAACTAGACAAACTCAATTCCTCCAACCGGCCTTCGTATGTTTTAGTCTCCAGACTTTTAATCATCTTAGTTGCTCCTCTCTCCACTCTTTCTAGAATATCAGCTTATTTTTATGTTGTGGAGACCAATACTGGATGGAATATTTCCAAGTGTGGCCTTATCAAGGCATTATAAAGTGGTATTAATACTTCATGGGATCTTAATCCTATCCCTCTATTAATGTAGCCTAATAGTGTAGGTTGGATCTCTCCTTGATTGGTTTCCACCAAGAGGTCTTAGAAGTCTTATAGTCCAACCCTTCTACTCAGGCTGGAAACCATATACCATTTCAGACAAATGGTTATCCAATCTCTTCTTAAAAACTTCCAGTGTTGGCGCATTTACAACTTCTGGAGGCAAGTTGTTCCACTGGTTAATTGTTCTCACTGTCAGGAAATTCCTCCTTAATTCTAAGTTGCTTCTCTCCTTGATGAGTTTCCACCCGTTGCTTCTTGTCCTGCCTTCAGGTGCTTTGGAGAAGAGGTTGAACCCTTCTTCTTTGGGGCAGGCCCTCAAATATTGGAACGCTACTGGCATTTACCACCTGCAAGGTTAGCCAAGATGTTTAAAAATATGTCTTGCAAACGTTGGAAATGCAATCAGAAAAAACGGGCACATTTTATCGTATGTGGTGGACTTGTGTTAAAGCAAAAAAAAAAAAAAAAAAATTGGCCAAAAATACACAGGTGGCTAGAAAAGATAATAGGGAAACATGTAGACTTTAAACCCGAAGGTTTTTTTTTTAAATTAGGGATGATATCAGAAAAAGATTTGATAAGAAAAGTATGTATTTAATATTACATGTCTTAAGAGCAGCGAAGGGTTATCTTCTCACAACATTGGAAAAAATGAGCAAACCTCCCAAGACGGATGAGATAATTCAGAAGATACTAGATTGTCCAGAAATGGATAAACTTACATTGCAAATCAAACAGAGCGAAGACACAGAATATTATTGTAAGGGCCAGATTTTTTTTCCCCCTTCAGACAATAAGAATGAACTTTTGAAAACCGGGCATTTCAAAAGGAATTCTTTATTGAAGAGGAAGAAAGCCTTAGTAAGACCACACCTAGAGTAGTGCATCCAGTTTTGGTCACCACATTATAAAAAAGATGCAGAGACTCTAGAAAAAGTGCAGAGAAAAGTAACTAAGAGGATCAAAGGCCTGGAAACTAAAACATACGATGAACGGTTGCAGGAACTGGGCCTGGCTAGTCTAGGGAAGAGAGAAGGATCAGGGGAGACAGGAGAGCAGTGGTCCAATATCTGAGGGGCTGCCACAGAGAGGAAGAAGGGGTCAAGCTATTCTCCAAAGCACCCAAAGGTCAGACAAGGAACAATGGATGGAAACTGATCAAGATTCAACCTGGAAATAAGAAGAAACTTTCTGACAGGGAGAACAATCAACCCATGGAACAGAAGTTGCCCTCAGAAGTTGTGGGAGTGTCACCACTTGAGACTTTCAAGAAGAGATTGGACTGCCATTTGTAGAAATGGCGTAGGGTCAGGGGTGGGATTCTACCAGTTCGCACCTATTTGCTAAAACCGGTTGTTAACATTCTAAGCAGTTCAGAGTTCAGGTTGTTAGAAGAAATTACTGGGCTAATCCTGTAAGGAAGGCAGGAAGGAAACATTCTGGTGTTGCTTACAGAAACTGCCTCCCCGTTAACCCTTATTACATTCTTGGCAGGACTGGACTTCCTGTCTCTGGAACTTCTCTGGAGTTTTTTCCCCCCTCCTTTGCTGGTACTTTGCTTGTGCGGAGTGGCCATTCAAAGTTACAATGGCACTGAAAAAAATGACTTATGACCATTTTTCACACTTACGACTGTTGCAGCACCCCCACAGTCATGAGAGGCCAGGCAAAGAGATGGGTGCCTCGATGTGAGTGATATTGAGTTGGCCAATAACATGACCACCAAGCCACGTTCACCTGGTCATATGACCACCAAGCCACACCCACCAACTAAGCCAGACCCACAGAACCGGTTGTTAAAAAATTTGAATCCCACCCCTGCGTAGGGTCTCCCGCTTGGGCCCGGGGTTGGACTAGATGACCTATAAGGTCCCTTCCAACTCTGATTATCTGTTATCTGTTAAAGTCAACATTCAAAGCAGGGTCTGATATCCTTCCTGGCACGCAGCTCAGATAAAGGGAGTTAGAACGTCTCCCCTTGGTCAGATGTGGATTTCGCCAATACGCAGAAACAAACATGTTATTTTCCCCTCGCCTCTGAGAAAGATCCCTGGAAGTTTCTTTTGGAATTGGCATTTATTTGGCCCCTTTTCTTGCCATCTGGGGCGCCAGGAAACGATACAGATTCAGTACAAGAGTTATGAGATATTTTTATTTATTTTATTAGTCGATTGCTTACAAGATGATAGGTATAAGTAAAAACATAGTTATGAATACATGGATACATATAAGAAAAGAAAAATAAAAGAATATTCTGGTTACATCAAAAAGAATTACTTGTATCGAAAAAACCCCACCCTTTCTTCTTCCATTGAAGAATGGCAGATATACGGATCTGACAATTATCAGACATGGAATTTATTTTACCAGTGGCTGGAAAAGAAAGGGGTGGATATTAAGAAACTGTATTGCTAAGCAAATTAAATAAACCCAGACAACACGATGTTTATTAAGCATTTAGTAAATGTAATTAATAGAAAAATAATAAAAAGTTGTTTTTTTTTAAAATGGAACACTTCTAATTGGTTCTGCAACCCAACAGGACAGATACAGACTTCAGAGAGTAATTAGGACTGTAGAAAAAACAATGGCTACCAACCTGCCTTCCATCAAGGACCTGTATACTGCACGAGTCAAAAAGAGGGATGTGAAAATATTTATAGACCCCTCACATCCCGGACATAAACTCTTTCAACTCCTTTCCCCAAAACGACGCTATGGAGCATTGTACACCAGAACAACTAGACACAAGGACAGTTTTTTCCCTGAACGCCATCCCTCTGCTAAACAAATAATTCCCTCAACACTGTTCAACTATTACAACCTCTGCACTACTATTACTGTTAATCTTCTCATCACTCCTTATCACCCAGCCCCTCCCACTTGTGACTGTATGACTATAACTTTCTCACTTGTATCCTTACGATTTATATTGACTGCTTCCTAGTATGATTTGATTGCTTATTGTACCCTATGATTATTATTAAGTGTTGTACCTGATGATTCTTGATTCTTGACGAATGTATCTTTTCTTTTTATGTACACTGAGAGCCTATGCACCAGAGACAAATTCCTTGTGTGTCCAATCACACTTGGCCAATAAAGAATTCTATTCTGTTCTATGCTATGCTATGCTATGCTATGCTATGCTATGCTATGCTATGCTATGCTATGCTATTCTATTCTATTCTATTCTATTCTATTCTATTCTATTCTATTCTATTCTATTCTTCATTCTATTCTATTCTATTTCTATTTGGAATTGTTGAAGCTGAACGTGGGTTTTTTGCCCCCCTGTTTATCTACAGATGTCTAACCAGAGAGGTCACTGTCAGCTGATCCCACCTTCAGACCTGGATGGATCCTACCTTGGTGTAGCTAGACTGCAAACTTTGTATAAGAACCACAACTTAACTCGTAGAAGCCCTAATCTTCAACCTTCAAGTCGACCTGGTAGGAATAGGGGTGTCCTGGAGGCCAGTCCCCCCAGATGCCAAACAGAGGCCGGGAATGGTGGTCTTTTGGAAAACGGGGTGCACCATCAATGCAACCACAGGGCATCTCCTGCAGCGCAGACGTTGACTCCCCATCGCGGAAGAACCCCCGACGGGGAGAAGAGGAAGAATGGTTGCTCTCTTCCGGGGTGCCCCTTCCATCAAACATTAAGAAACTTGGCTCACAAGTCTTTCCCAGACGGTTGCCGGGTTCGAGACTGCTATTTGGGACCCCCGGGCGAATCCTCCTCGGAATATTTCAGCTCACCGTGCCTTCCGAGGCCGAAGGCCAGCGAAGTCCCGGGGTCGAAAGAAGCCGATGGCGGCCGCAACTTCTCCGAGGAGAAAAGGAAAGAGCTGCTACTCCAGAAAATGGAGCTGGAAATCGAGAAGGAACGCCTGCAGAATTTGTTAGCTGAGCAAGAGGCCAAACTTCTCCAGCAGCAAGAGCAGCTCCGGCAATCCAGGCGGGATTATCATCGGTATGCTTGGCAAGAGGGGTGAGAAATTGGAGTGGAGTGGAGAAAGAAAGGAGGAGGAGGAGGAGGACTAAGGGGTCCTTGGTGCTCTCTGAGCTTGATTGTTTCCTTGGAGACATTTCATCACCCAACTAGATAACACCATTAGTGCTAGAAGGGGGAAAAGGAGGAGGAATAAGGGGTCCTTGATGCTCTCCGAGCTTGGTGGTTTTCTTGTAGACGCTTCATGACCCAACTAGGGAACGTCATCAGTGCTATTGCGGAGTAGGCTTTGTGGAGAGGAGGAGGACTGTGGGGCTCTTTAGCATTTTTAGGGGCACCTTCTCTATTTTATTTATTTTATTTTATTTTATTTATTTATTAGATTTGTACTGCCGCCTATTCGCCATGACGACTCAAGGCGGCTTACAACATATAAAACCACAATTTAAAACAATAAAACTCAAAATCAAATAAATTAATACAGTAAAATCGCCCCCCCACCTCCTCACCCCCCAATGAAAGCAGACCCCACTAGCCATTTGATGGGCTCCATCCCGCTCCATCCCCAGGCCTGCTGGCAAAACCAGGTCTTCTTCAGGGCCTTCTGGAAGAGTACTAGAGTGGGGGCCATTGTCATCTCTGGGGGAATGAGGTTCCAGAGCGAGGGAGCCACCACGGAGAAGGCCCTTCTTCTGGGTCCCACCAGGTGTATCTCCGTCAGGGATGGGACCCGCAGCATTCCCTGCCTCTCTGCTCTGATGGGTCGGATAGATGTGACCAGCAAGAGACGGTCCCTCAGATCACCTGGCCCCAAACCATGAAGGGCTTTAAAGGGGACTACCAGCAGTCTGAATTGCACCCGGAAGCAAATCGGCAACCCATGCAGCTCCTGCAGGAGAGGTGATACATGTGCACGCTGGGGTGTGCACAAAACCATGCGGGCCGCTGCATTTTGCACCAACTGGAGCTTCCGGATGTTCTTCAAGGGGAGCCCCATGTAGAGCGCGTTGCAATAGTCAAGACGGGGAGTGACTAGGGCTGTGAAGGCGAACCTATGGCACGTGTGCCACAGGTGGCATGCAGAGCCATTTGTGTCAGCATGCGAGCTGCAGGCCAAACTTACCTGACTGAGCCTGTGCGTGCCTCACAGCTGATGTTCGGCTGGTTGGGGCCTTTTTCGGCCTCTCAAAGGCTTGAGGGAGATTTCTGCAGGCTTCTACAAGCTTTGCAGGCCGAAAACTAGCTCCGTTTTGTCACTTCCGGTATTTTCGGAAAAAGAGGAAGTGACGAAATGGGGCTAGATTTCAGCCTACAAAGCTTGTAGAAGCCTGCAGAAGCCTTTGGGAGGCCGAAAAAGGCCTCAAACTGCCCCCAAAGCAGCTGTGAGGCGCAGTGCAGGTAAGGGAGCAGTGGGGGGTAGGTAGGTGGGTGGAATTGCGCGCGCATGCGTAGGGGACATGGAGGGGGGCATTGCCTTCTGGTTGCTGGCACGTGAGCGTGCAAGTGCACACAAAATTTTGGGCACAGGAGCCCCAAAAGGTTAAGCCACCATTGGACTAGGGCATGAGTGACCGTGAGTAGCGATTGTTGGCCCCGGAAAGGGCGCAACGGGCGCACAACCGGCTATCAGCTTTAAGCTGCAAGGACTTCAATTCCCAGCATTCCCCAGCCGCAGGGAAAGATACGGTTAGGAGTAAAATGATCTCACCTACCCCTGCCCCCAAAGCGTTTTTTGTGGAGTTTCCTCTCGGAGAAATGTGTCTGTAACTTCAAAAGACTCTGAATATTGCTTACCCTCTAAAAAAAAAAAAAAAGGGATAAGGAGTGAAAAAGGCGGGATAAAAGCAAGTGTGGCTTCTTCCATATTTGAGGCTGCATATGGTGAGGAGAGGCTCTTGTTTCCCTTGCAGGTTTAAAGGCCACGCTGGCAATTCGGACGACAGGCAGACGGGGGAAGAAGCCCCGGTGGGACCAGGCTCTCTGGCTCCGGCCACAAACGGGATTGGTGATGGCCTCAGGTAAGGTCCTGGCTTGGCTCACCTGCTCCTGCCAGAATATTCTGTGATGCGCAAGGAGCTTCACTTGGTGTGACCCGCACTTTGGTTCGTCTCTTCTCTTCTCCTCACCTCACCCCTCCT